ACAACAATTGACATGAGGACGAAGAGTATTAGAGAATTATGGTTTAATAGAGAAAATAGAGGAGAAAGATAGGGCGGCTATTCATGTTTTTTGGCCAGATTTATGGAGAAACTGATATCTTATGTATATAAATAGAATGATATGCTTTAATCGATAACATAATTGTTGATTTTAAAGATTCTATAATTTAATATAGTTGTGTTCGAATTGTGAAATATATTTTAGAAAGTATGGATAGATTCTATAATTAAAGATTTTATAATTAAATGTAATTGTGTTTGAAATGTAATTGCTAAATTTAAAGATTTTATAATTAAATGTTTGGATTATATTTTGGGAAGATGATGTCAGCAATTTGATCTAAGGGTGGAAATCATAGGATTGAAATACAATCAAGGGCACTGATTACTTCATTGATAAATTAAAGGTTTTCTTTTAATAATATTTAGAGATATTTATTTTTTCAAATTTAGCAAATCCCAAAAACCAAATTGAGTTAGAACCAAAAAAACATAATACTCCTTCACTTACCCAATCCCACTTAACTTACGCCGCCCAATCATCATGACAGAATCTCTGAATATCGCTGTCATCGGAGCCGGCACCTCCGGCCTACTCACCGCCCGGGAGAACCACCGAGTCACCGTCTTTGAAAAATCAAACCGTCTCGGTGGAACCTGGCTTTACGAACCCCAAGTCGAGGCCGACGATGTTCTTCACCTCGACCCCAATAGATCCATTGTCCACAGCAGTCTCTACTCATCCCTCCGAACAAATCTCCCTCGGCCACTAATTAGTTTCTCCGATTACTCATTTGAAGACAAATACTACGGTGATCCGAGAATGTTCCCCGGTCATGAAGAGGTTCTAAAGTTTTTGCAGGATTTTGCTAACGAGTTCGGAGTCACTGAGGTGATTCGTTTTACCTCGGAGGTGGTGCGAGTCGACTCATTAGATGGTGATTTTGTGGTGGAGTGGAAGACGATGGAGGTGGGTTCGGTGGCTGAGGTGTTTGATGCGGTGGTCGTTTGCAGCGGCCACCATACTGAACCTCGAATCGCGGATGATGTTCCTGGTAATTTTACAGATCGGCCGGCTCGCGTGACTTTTTAACCACCTTTTTTTTTTGTTTTTTTGTTTTTTTTTTTCATTTCAAAATTTGTTATTACTATATAGTATATATTAGGGGTGAGCGTGGTGCGGTTTGGTGCGGTTATTGGCTAAAACCGCACCACTAACCACAAATGCGGTTATT